TAGTCCATGAGGGTTCTACCTGAGTGGGGGTGTGTGGACCTGGAAGCTTCGAGCAACCCGACAGCTATAAAGACCAAACACAGGCATCTTGTCATCTTCAGAGAGCTCAGTTCCATGTTGTGGAACTAGAGTCATTTCTTTATTAGCCATCCTTTCTGGTGTTTCTTAACCATCCTGCTAATACTACCAGGCAACCATTTCTCTCTTTGTTTTCTCGATGCTCTGGCCTCTCCCCCCTTCACTCCCAACCTTCTCTCCTCAGATCACCTCAGATCTCTCTGCCCAGGTGCAGGCCTAGTCAGATGCTTAGGTGCATAGACATGCAAATAAGGAGGCATATTACCCTGAGGCCATGGTAAACAAAAGTAGCCCTACTGACATTAACAATACAATAGTGGGCCGGAGCTTTCCAGTGCTCCATGTTTAGTGAGACCCAAGGCTGAATCTCAAAATATTCCGTAGTGGAAACACTTTGGTCCCCCACAATTTACAAATACAGATAAAAGTGTTCAAGTATTCCACAAGTGTTTTTATTTCTCAGTGCACAGAAATTTAGACTTTCAAAGGAAAGTTTTGTAGGGGGAATACTGGGAGGGTGGGGTTGGTTTTTTTTTCATGGGCATGATTTTCATTTATGATGGGCATAACAAGCTCATACCTGTTACCCTAGCACTTGGGAGGCTAAGGCAGAAAAAGCGTCAGCCTAGGCTGCATAGTGAGTTATAGACTAAAAGAAGGATGGTGGATCAGCAAAATAGCTCATTATGTTAGGGAACTACGTTGGGCGCCAAAATGTTATTCTTTTGTTTAAAAAGAAGAAAAGAGAAATATTGAGACAGACATATTGACTATAAGTTTATTATAAGGCGCAACAGAATGGGTAAACTAAGAAGAGGAACAGGGTAATGGCTGACCGCCATGGCCGGTCGCCATAGAGAGAGAGAGCGGGAAACAGAGAAACAGGGGGAGAGAGAGAGAGACAGACAGAGACAGAGAGAAAGAGGAGTAAAGGGGCAGAGAGAGAGAAAGAGAGGGCAGGGGCCTATCTTTTAAAGGGGTCCTCTGCACCTGCGTGCAGACTTCTTTCCCATGGAACCTTGGGCTGACCAGGGTATTGCCTGAGTGGATTCCACCAGGTAACAGGGGCAGGCCAGCATAATGCCTGAACCTTTCATTCATGACCGTTGTTTGAACACCCCCACCCACCCACATGGTGAAAGAAGACTGTACCCCAAAAGTTGTCCTCTGACCTCAAGGCTGCACAGGCACAAATGTAAAGGAAATGTAAAAGTTGTTTTTTCCCCCAGTAGATACTTTAAAACACAGTCAAACTTATTATTTCATTATTTTTCAGAACAGGTGTTCTGCCTTTATGCCCAGATTCTGAAAGCATGCTGTTATTCTTTTGTTTAAAAAGAAGAAAAGAGAAATATTGAGATGGACATATTGACTATAAGTTTATTATAAGGCAGAATGGGTAGACTAAGAAGAGGAACAGGGTAATGGCTGACCGCCATGGCCGGTCGCCATAGAGAGACAGAGCGGGGAAACAGAGAGAGGGGACAGAGAGCAGGAACAGGGGGAGAGAGAGAGAGAGAGGGCAGGGGCCTATCTTTTAAAGGGGTCCTCTGCACCTGCGTACAGACTTCTTTCCCATGGAAACTTGGGCTGACCAGGGTATTGCCTGAGTGGATTCTACCAGGTAACAGGGGCAGGCCAGCATAATGCCTGAACCTTTCATTCCCACCTCTACTTATTAGTAAAATGTGTGTGTTTAGACATGGCAGGGTAAGGAATAAGGGGGGCGACTTCTTAAGACTGCTTCCTGCTGACATGGGGGGCGTTGACCATCTTTGGGGGACCCGAGAAGGTTGGGGTGCTGCCACGTCCAGGGCCCTGCTTTGTGACTGACAAAGTCACATAGTCTATAACATCAAACACAGAGCTGTACATATGGAGAATTCATAGGGATTTCAAGGTTAGGCTTCTCCGTTTCTCTACTTCAGTGCATTCTAAAAGTGACTCCAGGACCTAAGTCTTCACCATGAAGAGGTTAAGAATTCAGTGATGTCACCACCAAGTAGAGATACCTTTGACTTTGATATCTAAGGCAAAGTTGCCAAATACCACCCACAGTAAATAGCACATTGTATGTTTTTCTTGATTGTGTTCTTTGCACTTGGATTCATGTTGTAACATGTTCCTGTATGTAACACACAATATTAAAGGTTTGTTTTTGTTTTAGTTTTTGTGGCTTTGAAGATCAAACCTAGTCCTTATACATGTGGGACAAGTGTTGGGCCACTGAATTGCACTCACAGCATGGTGATAATTTTTTTTTAATTTGCTTATTTTTGTTTTATGTGAATCGGTGTTTTATCTTCATGTATGAATGTATGTATGTATGTATGTATGTATGTATGTATGTATGTATGCATGCATGCATGAGCACAGCATGCATGGCTGGTGCCCACAGAGGCCAAAAGGGGGTTCTGGGTCTCCTAGAATTAGTTATGGATGTCTATAAGCCATCTTGTAGGTAGAAACTGAACTCGGGTCTTTGCAAGAGCTATAAGTGTTCTTATGTGCTGAGGTATCTCCAACCGTGTTGTGTTTTGATTTGTTTTTTAGTTGTGTGTGTTTCTGGGTTTACCTTTTTAAAGGAGTCAAGATACACAGTGTGGTGGATATTTAACAGCAATTGACTAGCTGAATTTCATTTTAATTGATAAAACTTTTTGGAGGGGCTCACTATCTAGTCCAAGCTGGCCTCAAACTTGGAACAAACTGGCTTAGCCTCCTGAGTTCTGGGATCACAGTTCCAGGCCAGCTGAACTGGACAGTGGGACCTATGTCAGGCCTCTGCACCCATGTACACCTGGTGTTTTCATGTGTTGGCACTGTCAACAGGAAAGTCAGAGAGCCCTTAGTAATGTCACTGCACTCTCTGGTAATATGGTGGGAATCTTCCTGTCCAGTCACACCACAGTTCCCTGACAGCTGCAAGATAATTTGCGTGTGGTCAGGGAGTGTGCTGAGTGTGGTGATGCGGGGCAAGTTGCTTTCATTCGTATGAATGATTAAACTTTGTGATGATGAGTTCTTGTGTGGTTTGTCCTAACAAAAAGCCACATATCACATTGGAGCTTTTCAGTGAGTACTGTATGGAGAGGAGCCTAAGAAGGTAGAACTCAGTACTGGCCCCTGATTATCTGGTTTTCTGGATGGTCTGGGTTAGCCTTCTTTAATAGAACTTCCAGAGTGATGGATATGTTTCCTAATTTGTACTTTCTGGAACAGCCCCTTACCACCAGGCACATGTGAGTGTTTAGCACTTGGAATGCAGCTAATGTGGCAGAGGCTGAATTTTAGATTTTACTTGACTAAAAAAATTTAGTCAAAATGATTAGGATATAAACATCATTTGGTTAGAAGTAGAAAGAATCAAACGCTTTTCTGCTTCTGCCCCTCCATACAAGGGTCTCCAAAAGCCTGCTTATGGAGCAGGGACAGGCAATTGGAAAACAACTGAAGATCCAATTGCTGCAAAGTCTGGGCACACAGATGCTAGCACTTAGAGACTTCTGTAAGTCTAAACATCCCCTTGTATCACTCCCTCCACATTGTTGGAAAAGTCAGTAAACTAATACATTTAATTCTACAGGTACTTACTGGAGTCCTCTGGGCACCCAGTGAGGACTTATTTCACAAATGACTAGTTGTTGTGGTTATTTTTCTCCCCTTTAAGTAGATTTACATAACACTAAAATACTTCTGGATTGAGTCTGCAGACAGGGGTAGCAGAAGAAGGGACATGTCACTGTCTTAGAATGCTTGGAGGCACAAAGATAAGGTGCAGACTCCCTTCACGATCAGCCTCATCTTACTACTGGGCAAACATGCTTAACAGACAACGTGTAAAACAGTACAAAAAATGGTGCAAGGAAGAAGAATGATTGGGGCCAGATTTTTTAAAAGCTATGTATAAGATTCTAGGATTTAACTGGGTTGGGAGTAAAGGCATGCACTCATGAGGCAGAGACTGGCAGATCTCTGAGTTCAAGGACAGCCAGAGCTACACAGAGAAACTCTGTCTTGGGGAAGAAAAAAACTTATAGGATTGCTTGAAATGCCTCTAATTTATGCAGAACATTATATATCTTCACAGCCCATTTTTCTGTTGGGTTTGGTTTCTGAAATAGAAGAGCTTAGGAGTCACTTCTGGGGTGAGTGATAGCCAAAGGACTTTAAAGGAGTGATGTCATGCTAGATTTTTAAAAGATTACATTGGCATTTACCTGCTTAGTAGCTAAAAAATGGCTAATGCATAGGTCTGCAGTCATAAACTATAGTATGCTGTATGATGTGAAACTTGATATGCTACTGGGTGGTCACAGATTGTCATTAGGGAGACGGTTTAAAAAAAAGGTTCACCATCCTAGGCATTCAATTACAGAGTTAGAAATTAGTAACTCAAAGGGAAAAAAAAGTGAGCTTTGATATCCAGATATTTAGTTTTCCTTAATATCATCCTCCCTTGGTGTTTGTAAGCCAGTGAATGATTTTTGATGCTATACAGTGGCAGTTCTTGACAACATATATAAGAGCAAGCCACTTGTCTCTGGCACAGTGGTGGTAATTCTTTAGACTTGAACCATAGGAGTTGTCACCACTCTTGGTAGTGGCTTCCTTAGTCTTTTGGAATAATAGCTAAATGATTTATAAACTAGGACTTAAATAATCTAGAAAAAAAATCCACATAAAGTGTGGGTGGAGAGTCCTGTTTGTTGTTTTTTAGAGGTTTTGATTTTCATTCAGTTTGTGTTTGGCTCTCAGTGTAGAAGACAAAGCAGTAAGCCTAGAGGTGTGTGACTCTGAAGACAGAACCTAGAAAAAGTGTTCATTCTTTAGGAAGTCCAGGCCTTGCTTTATGCAGCTGTCTGTGCGGCCTCTGCTGGTGAAGACACTCGGTAAATGATTGCTTATGGTTCCTCTGTCAGCTTTTAGTTTGGACGCTGAGCAGCCTGATTACGATCTGGATTCTGAAGATGAAGTGTTTGTGAATAAACTGAAGAAGAAAATGGACATCTGCCCATTGCAATTTGAGGAGATGATTGACCGTCTGGAAAAAGGCAGTGGTCAGCAGGTACAACTTCATTTCTGTATGTCTATTATAATAATGCCTATATTATGTGAAATCATGCAGTGTTGAGGAGGGATGAGCCAGCAGACTCCGGAACTGAAAGCATGAATTTACATCTCCTTGTGTTATCCTGTATCATTTTGAGCAGTATATTTGAGTTTTTTGTGCCTCCGTCACCCCAGCTGTATGTTGAGATAAAATAATAGACTGGAGGTGATGTGTTGATCACTTTTGATCCTACCACTTGGAAGGCAGAGACAGGTGGGTGGATCTCGGTGAGTTAAAGGTCAGCCAAGGCTACATGGTAAGACCCTGTCTCCAAAACAATAATAAACAAAAAAGTCTTCAACTGCCATTTGTGTATTTGGTGAGCAGGTAAAATATTACTAATATCAAGTCCTACCGTCAGGAAATACAGCAAACTGTATGCTCTGTGAAATTTGATCGTTGTAAAGATCGTTGAACGCACTAGGGCTGGAGATGGGGCTCAATTAGTACAATACCTGCCTAGCGTGCACATTGGGCTTGCTCCCCAGTCCCATGTAAACCAAGTGTGGTGATGTACACTCAGCACTTAGGAGGTGGTAGGAAGATCGGAAGTTCTAGGTCATCCTCACAAGTTCAAGACTAACCCTGTTTAAAACATTCTGTCAATACTATTGTTGGCTTGATTGTTGTTATTTAAATGAAGAATGGTTTTGAGTCCTTGTATATGTATTTTATGAAAGTGACATAATGGTTTTACATTTAGCCAGTCAGTCTGCAGGAAGCCAAACTACTACTAAAAGAAGATGATGAGTTAATTAGAGAAGTTTATGAATACTGGATTAAAAAGAGGAAAAACTGTCGAGGGCCATCACTTATCCCATCGGTAAAACAGGAAAAGCGAGACGGTTCTAGCACAAATGATCCTTACGTGGCTTTTAGAAGACGAACTGAAAAAATGCAAACTCGAAAAGTAAGTGAATTTTTACATTTTTAAGAAAAATTGTAGTTCTTAATTTTATGACTTAATCTGTGCTTTCATATAATAGTCCTTAAAATTATACTGGAGGGGTTGCCCAGTGGTTCAGAGCACTTATTTCTCTATCAGAGGACAGTGTTATGATTCTGGTACCCATATCAGACACCTGTGACTCCTGCTCCAAAGTATTCAGTGCCACTCCTTTCTGGCCACTGTATACACACACACACACACACACACACACACACACACACACACACACACAGAGAGAGAGAGAGAGAGAGAGAGAGAGAGAGAGAGAGAGACCTTTTAATTACAATGGAAAATATTAAAATAAGTTGACCTTTAGTTTTTATGAGGGCCTTAATAGTACAAATTAATATATGTTCCCTTCCTGTGTCTTTAAACTGTAACCCTGCAAATGCATACATTCTTATCTGCACCTTGTTAGAATTGCTTCTTGAAGTTAAGCAAAACTTTATATTTTCAGAATCGCAAAAATGATGAAGCCTCATATGAAAAAATGCTTAAGCTGCGTCGGGATCTCAGCCGGGCTGTGACTATCCTGGAGATGATAAAGAGAAGGGAGAAGAGCAAACGGGAGCTACTGCACCTGACACTGGAAATTATGGAAAAGAGGTGACCCTTGTGCTTATATGCTAGGACTGCTGCCAGTCACAGCCTGTGTATTTCCTACTTATCTGTAATCACAGAAATAGTTTCTTTAGTAACAGACTGTGGTTGAACGTTGTGAAATGATATTCACAATTCTGTCTTATTTTCTCAAAGTGATTGGGCTCACTAAGAAATGTATCAGGTGTTTCTACTGAGAAATTCTTTTGTTCTTTTGAGTTCTTTCTGTGGCAGTTTGAGGCAGTGTGAGGGGGTTCATGTTGAATACTGGTTGTTTATTTGGGGTGTTTTGTAGGTTTGTGGGAGATTTTTAGTACTAGAGATGAAACCCAGGGCCTTGCACACTGTAGGCAAGCATGTTGCTAAGCACCAGATGTGCATAAATTTTAACACACTTGTTGAGGTAGAGAATGAAAGCTCCAGGTACACACACACACACACACACACACACACACACACACACACACACACACACACTTAAATTTCTTATGATTCTTTCAGGGAAAAAAATAGTTTTGTAGCACAGACAGCCCTAATTAGCGGAGGTCCCTTGACACTACTTGAGGCATCTCAGCCTTAGGATCTTGCCTCTCAGTCACTGTGTTCCAAGATAAGATTACAGGGCCCAGCACCAGATGATCCAGGTGTGGTGACTCACAACTGTAGGAAGTGGTAGAGACGAGAAGATCAAAAGTTCAAGGCAGAGACTTTAAAGGCTCCAAGGTTGAGCTCTGGCTGCTCTTCCAAAGGACCTGGGTTTGATTCCCAGCACCTTCATGACATCTCACTACCTTCTGTATGTAAGTTTAGTTCCCAAGGATCCAGCATCCTCTCTGGCCTCCCTGGGCAAGGTACACAGACATGCATACAGGCAAACCACCCATCTGCATTCAGTGTCACACTGAGTACATAGCATGTTGGAAGCAGCCTAGGATACATGTCTCAGAAAAAAAGTAGCTCTTAAGTAGTTTATGCGCCCCGCCCCTCCACCAGCAATAGGCACATGAGGTGACTGGGGAGGTGGATGTTGAATTCTCAGTGTTTATGGAAGCATCTCATTGTATTCTACGTACAGCTTAAGTTTCCTCTCTCTCATTTCAGATATAATTTAGGTGACTACAGTGGAGAGATCATGTCTGAGGTCATGGCACAGAGACAGCCGGTGAAGCCTACGTACGCCATTCCCATCATCCCCATCACTAACAGCAGTCAGTTCAAACACCAGGAGGTCACGGATGGGAAGGAGTTCAAAGTTCATAAGGTGATTAGGGCTTGGTAACAGTAGCATCCAGTAAACAGGAGAAATAAGTAAATTCTACTGCAAGGTGGAAAGAAAACTAGCTTTTCCTGACAGTTTCATTCCTCCTTCTCTTACTGCCCCACAAGACCAGGAAAGGCCTTGTTCTGGGTCTGATAAAGGAGGGCTTTGCTAATAGGGGATATGAGATGCACTAAAATTTTAATGGGATTTTTTTCCCCTCGTTTTAATATTGAAGTCTGTGGTCCACCTGTCTGAAATGTGTGGCCTTACAGATCACTTCAGAAATCTTTGATTTTTATATTTCAGGATTTAACTCAGATTCTAATTACACAACATTGTTTTCTTTCTGTATGTTCCAGAAACATGAGCCATATATTTGGATCTGGTTTACCATTAAGACAGAGTAATTATGGCAGGGTGGTGGTGTCGCACATCTTTAATCCCAGCACTTGGGAGGCAGAGACAGGCAGATCTATTGAGTTTGATGCCAGCCTGGTCCACAGAGTGAGTTCCAGTACAGCCAGGCCTAAACAGAGAAACCCTGTCTCGGAAATGGGGGGTGGGGGGGAAGACAGAGTAATTAATGGAATATTCCTGTTATCTTGAGCATTTTTTAACTTTAATTTTCATTTAAATTTTTTTGTTGTTGGGCTGGAGAGATGGGTCAGCAATTAGAGCACACTGCTCTTACAGAGGACCTGGGTTTAGTTCCCAGCACCTATATCAGATGCTTTACAACTCTGTAGTTCCAATTCAGGTGACCTGATAATTATCTGGCCTTGAAGGCACCTACATGCATATACACACATACACACACTTTTTTAAAGTCTTTTAAGCGTATGTTTGTTTTGAACAGAGAAAATGTAGATTGTTAGGAAAAACTGAGAATGATCCTCTGAGCGTGGGAGGGACCACCAGGAAGGAAACCTGGGCCTTTTTAAATAGTTTAAGCAGTTGACTCCCCAGCTGATAATTAACTAAACTTACTAACAGGGGCTGCAGCTTGTAGAATGTGGCTTCTGGTGTGTAACTGATCCCTGTCTGTGTTGCAGCAGGATAAGGCTGATCTTACTCGTCCGAAGCGCAAATACGAGAAGAAGCCCAAAGTCCTCCCATCGTCTGCCGCCACTCCTCAGCAGCCAAGCCCTGCTGCGCTGCCAGTCTTCAGTGCTAAATTTCCACCATCTGCCTCCACTCCTCAGCAGCCAAGCCCTGCTGCGCTGCCAGTCTTCAGTGCTAAAGACTTAAACCAGTATGACTTCCCCAGCTCAGATGAAGAGCCTCTGTCCCAGGTAAACAGAAGACCAGCCCCCTGCATACAGAAGAGGAGTATAGGAGCCTGTTTGACCTCTCGTTGTTTTATTTCAAGGTTTTGTCTGGCTCTTCGGAAGCTGAGGAAGAGAATGACCCTGATGGTCCTTTTGCTTTCCGTAGGAAAGCAGGCTGTCAGTACTACGCTGTAAGTGTCAGACTTTTTTTGTAAAGAACAAAAGACAGATAAACTGGCAAAATACAATAATTTGGATTTTTTTTTTAAGCCTCATTTAGACCAAACTGGCAATTGGCCCTGGACTAGCCCTAAAGATGGAGGATTGGGGGATGTTCGCTATAGATACTGCTTAACAACGCTCACCGTACCCCAGAGGTGTCTTGGATTTGCACGAAGACGGGTTGGGCGCGGTGGAAGGTAATGCGCTTCTGCTTTCCTTGCATCGCATGCTTTTAGGCACTGAAATCAAAGTTTGAACTGGGGCCTTCCTTGTGAACAGACTCTAGTGACTCCAGCTTGCTGTGCTGAACCGGTTTGTCTGTATGCTCCCACTCAACTTTCTCACCAGCCTCACCCACTACGTAGTTCTTGCTAATGGACCCCATATAGGTTCTTTTCTCCCCAAACTTCTTAACATTCTAAACTAAGTTATCACAGGATAAAATCCTAAGAAAGGACAAGTGTAAATTGTGTTTACTCACTCAGGATTTGGTTCAGGAAACTACAAAAAAAGTCATTGAAATCTGGGGAAAAGTTGACATTAACTACTTCAGTGATTAACTCTTCTGTTCATGGCCTCGGTTTGTCAGGATACGGTTCTTGGGTCTGAAGTAGAATACCTTCATACGTATAGAGGAGGAGAGAAGGAACTGCAAAGCACAGGAAATGTTGGTTGAAAGACAATTTGAAAAAAAGAACTTTTATCCAGCATTGAGATTTGAGGCTAAAAGAACCAGAGCCAGCAAGATGGCTCAGTGGGAAGAGGCATTTGCCACCAAGATGACAGCCTGAGTTCTATTCCCAGTGCCCACAAGGTGGAAGGAGAGAACCGACTCTTGAAGTTTGTCCTCTGACCTCTGCATGCGTGCTGTGCCATGTGCCAAGTGCCATGTGCCATGTACACACTCTGTGTAAAGAGCCAAGTACTGCAATGATGAACTTTATGGCTTTTAAATATGCAGTATACTTTTATTCAGCTTTTGGGGCTTTCGGGAAAGGAAAAAAACCTCTTTGATGTAATCTCTGACATCTGCTCCTTGTGCAGGGTCCTGCTGGACAGAGCGCATTCAGACTATGACAGTATGTTTCACCACCTGGATTTGGACATGCTTTCCTCACCACAACCTTCTCCAGTCAATCAGTTTGCCAATACCTCAGAAACCAATACCTCGGACAGATCTTCCTCTAAAGACCTCAGTCAGATACTAGTCGATATCAAATCATGTAGATGGCGGCACTTTAGGCCTCGGACACCATCCCTACATGACAGTGACAGTGATGAACTCTCCAGTAGAAAATTACATAGGAGTATAAATCGAACAGGAACAGCACAGCCTGGGACCCACACATGCAGTACCTCCACGCAGAGTAAAAGTAGCAGTGGCTCCGCACACTGTGGTACGTTCATTTGTAGCATCCATTGCTATGTCTGTATCAGGGTGGGGTCATCCATCTTGTTGAGGATGTGGTGGTCTATTGCACCCATAGTGAGATGTCTTAACTATTTCTTTGAATTCTTCTTAGTAGTATGTTGCTATGTGACTTTGTGTGTATATATCCTTTCTTAACCACAGTCATAAAGAGATGGTATGTTACTATATATTTAATGTTTAATTTGTTACTCTTTGAGGCAGCCCATGAACCACGAGACTCTTTAATTTTCAAGTAATAAGAAAATAAAAGGGATCCAGGTTGTTGGCGGTATGTACTTGAACACCTAATCTGTTCTACACATAACATATATATAGTTACACATAACATACGCTGACGTAGTCATTCAGAGTACATGCAAGAGAAACTGAGTTTTAATACTTTGGAAACATTTTTAGATAATACCTACTTTGGTGTGCTTTGACTAAAATACTAAAAATACTGCAATACTCTTGGCTTTCTTTTTTAAATCATTGAGTCCACATTTTCCAAATTGTATAAAATTATAGAAGTTCCCTATCCAGATGGCTTGGCTGGTAGAGGTGCTTAACCAAGCCTGACAATCTTGAGTTCAGGCCCCAAGACCCACACAGTAGAAGGAAAGAACCCATTGGTTCAGGTTGTCTTCTGGCCTGCATACATGTGTGCATACATACACACAAGTATATGAATATAATAAATGAATAAATAGTTTGTTTATTTGTGATTTTTAAGACAGGGTCTTACTATGAATCCCTGGCTGTCCTGGAACCCATTTTGTAGACCAGGCTGACCTCAAATTCACAAAGATCTGCCTGAGTACCAGGGTTAAAGACATGTGCCACCATGCCTGATTTATGTTTAAAAATATCTTTAAATTACATTGTTAAAGCTCTTCTAGGTTAATTTTAATAGTTTCTTTTTTTTTCTTTCTTTTTTTTTTTTTTTAGGATTGCTTCCCTAATTACCTATTTTAGTTACCATTAAAGTGCTTTCTAAGCATGAGAATTTGTTGTACCTTCGGAAACCTTCAGAAAATGCTTCATAAACTAATTTACCTGTTAGTTACAAAATCAGTAATTTCTATGAACTGACCAAACTTGAGAATCAATTGGAAATCTGTTTCTGGGGCTTGATTGACTGTACTTCCACTAACTGTGGTGACTGTGTCTCTATCCATATAGTCCTTACCATCAGGCTGAACTGCTGTTCGGTGTGGAGCCCTAAACAAGCACCAGTGTAAATTTTTAATCGTTGCCCAAAATTAGTTGTTAAGATGTATAAAAATTTTTGAGACCTTATAGAGAAAATAGCCATGTTCCATCAATCCACATCATGTCACCTCCTAAAGTACAGACATTGAAGCATGTAACAGACCTCCAGATATTTCATTATGACTGTTTTAGGTAAGGTAGTTTGCAGGCACATTACTTATATAGACATGTTGGTGTCAGTTGCAGAGCTTTCTGGTTTGTTTGTCAGCTGTCATTGAAAGGTGAGCATTAGTGACAGTTGGCCCAAAAAACGCTTAATAATCATGTAACTTTTCATCTAAATCACTGTTTGACAATGGAGCTTTTTAAATGCTGTGTTTATTTTCGTATATACTTAGAGAATAAAAGCCAACAGACTGCAGAGTGACACTCTGCTTTCCTACTTGTGAATATTCATGAGATCTTGAAGCTTTCTCTATGGCTTTGTAAATTATGTCATGTGCACCATAGTGAGTTCAGCTAGCAGCCCCCGAATTCCTAAAAGAAAATCTAGCTATTGGCATGTTACATGGGAGTTGAAGCACATTTCTCCTTAAAGAAAGCATTCTCTAGAGGCACCAAAATCAGACGAGGTCTCACTTGAAGTTGGCCTGCAGAGTTCAGATACTACCTTATAGGCCAGTCATCTCATTCCATCACACTTGTGGTTTGATTTTTTTGTTTTGTTTTTTTTTTTTTTTTTAATTTTTCCTTCACACCATGGCCCCCAGATGTAAACCACATTTGGTACCAAAAAAGCCTGATTTGGTTGATGCCAGAGGAAGCATTGGCTATACTAAGATGATTAAGTCTCACCAAGTCCTCTCCGAAGGCATTGTCAAGCTGAACTTGTGTGCTGACTTAACTATCCCGTCAGATGTGAGTCAGTTAATGCACTTCCCTGCTGCCTAAGCCAAATGATGGCTTCAAATGTGTCGCTTTTTTGATTATTCAGTTACTGATTCAGATCATTGGAATTGATGGTTACAAACAGCTCCTTTTTGAAGTAGTTATATGTGAGTTCTCATACACTCATCTTGAACAGGAAGTTCTGAATAAAGGTGCCAGGAGTCCACTCATTTCCTTGAAGAGTGCCCTCAGATGTATAGCTTGTTCCCACTACTAGGGATCTCAGTCTTGGCCATTTCACAGGCTGTGTAACCACAGAGGGTCTCCTGAGTAGGACATGTCTGATGTTAGGTAGCCTCTGTGGAGGTGTCAGTGAATCCTGTATCCCCTTTGTTCTGTGTAACAGAAGGGGATCTTGGAAAGACTTGCTGATGGGGATTTAGAATTTCTAGGGCTAGGTCTACTTACGGATAAATTATTTCTTCTTAATAATCATTAGTTAATACATGATTTGGACTGTTTCCAAATAATTTTCTAGGCTTTTAAACTATAATAGCACCTTTTCAATCAAATTTAGTGCTTGCTCAGTTAAACATTCATTTTGTGCATTTGAAATTGAAGTGATATCAAATTACCATAATTAGATGAGACCCTATTACAGGGGCTAGCAACATGGCTCAGTAGGTAACGGCACTTGCTGCCAAGCCAGCTATCTTGAGTTCTGTCCCTGGTACCCACATGGTGGAGAAAGAATCAACTCCCACACGTTGTCCTTTGTCCTCCTGGTGCACTGCACACTCTGTCTCTCTCATAGAGCGCAAGAAAGACAGAAATACACACAGTCAGAGGGAAGGAAATGTATGAGTGTATAGATGTTTCAGTAAGACTAAAGCTCTGACTACAGTGATGTGCCTTAAAATCCTAGCTCCCAGTAGAATTTCAGCATCATTGTAAGCTGTTTATCTAAACTCACACCATCTGTAAAAATCTGCTTTATTTCTGTAAGTGACAGACGTTCTGTGCATAGACTTAGTATGTTTGGCTTAATCTGTGTGTAGAAGGGACTATTCTTGTGCACTGATTCTTGTTACATTTGTAAGACTCCAGGACCCTAAGCTTTATCTAGAGGCTTTCTAATGCAGAATCTTTTCTGGAAGGTGGGCTTCTCACACAGCACCTGTAAGGTGCACAGTGAGCTCAGCAGGTGTATGTAGATGGTGCAAGGGCAGTCGCAGCCAGAGCAGCACTGGGCTAGAAAAATGTCACATTGACGTCATCCACAGCCATGTGTGCTCAGGTCTGACACAGCTTGCCATCACTTGAATTGCACACATCTTGGTTTTCAAGTTGGGTTTTAGATGGCTAAGAGCTTGGGAACAACCCCTTTGATTTCAGCTCCTTAATGCTAGAATCATTTCAATTTGTAGTTGTTTTGCTTGGGTCTTTAGTTTGTTTTTGTTGGGCTGGGGATCAAATCTAGGGTCTCCTGCATACTAGGCAAGTGCTCTACACCACTGAGCCATACCCGAAGCTTTTGTTTTAATCACTTTTTTGTTAGGTCTGTTAGAATCAGAAGTTTCTGATTCGAGGTTATGTTTTAAAACAGATTTATGGCTTTTGGTTTTTTTGTTTGTTTGTTTGTTTAATGAAATATAAATACCTTTAAATAATCCAGACTCCATTTTGAAATGGTTCATTTCTTAGTGGTATCCCCTGCACCCATTTGAGCACCTCAGTTAGATTGCTGCAGCCACAGGGATGTGTATGCCTATAGGACCTTAGACCATTCCAGACACTGGGTCAGTACATTTCCTGGTGGTGGTGATAGTAGCACACTCCTTTAATCCTAGTACTCTGAGCTCTATGAGCTCAAGGCCAGCCTGGTCTACAGAGCAAATTCCAGGACAGCCAGAGCTGTTACACAGAGAAACCCTTCCTGGAAAAAACAGAGTAGTTTCTGACATCTGCTTGAATATTTCTGATGAGGGGAAATAGAACAGATCGATTTATTCTACATTGAAGGAGCTTGCTTAGAAAGTTAATCCATACATTGTGCCAAAAGCAGCCTTCTTGAGTTCAGACTTGTGTTTTCTTATGGGAACATGCTAAGTGTGTTCGCTCTCCACTGTCACACTGTCCTCCTAAGATCTGAAGTCACATCCCACTTCCTCCCCTAGCCTTTTATTTCACACAGTTCCCTTCCCACATACATTCTTGCTGGCCAGGTGCCCTGCCTGTGAGGATTTCTTTAAGCATTTTATTCATGCAGGTGAATAACTAAGGCTTTTATTATATCTTGTAAACTTCAAATCCAAAGCTGTTTTTCTCTGTTTGGTGGTGGTGGTGGTTGTCTTCCATCTGCTTTGTGACTCGAGGACCTCAGTCTTCATCTCCAGTATGAGGTTATAGGAGGAAGTTAGGTACAAAGGATCTCACCTGACCACAGCCCTTGTGGTTCTGCAAAGCAGTTGTGATTCTAGATTTGATTGGTTGACTCCCCTTTTCTACCTTGATGCCCCAGTTCATTAGACATTTCAGAAAGTTGGCCGCTTTCACTTTATTCCATGGAGCATTTGGTTAGACCTTGGAGTTGGAATGGACCGGTGACCTTGAATGCTTCTACAGTCTCTGTGATGGATGAGAATATAAAACCCAGTTCACATTTTAATTATCCACATTTACTACCTTATCTTTGTACAAACTCACATCCTTTAATTCTATTTCTGAGAGGGAGCTAAGAGGACTTTGGCAGTCACCTCGTTTAATCCTTGTCACATTTAAATGAAGACACTGAACCACAAAGGGTGGCATGCTCTTTGAAGCACTGTTTGTGATAGGCTTTTATCTCTTCGCTGCCAGCCTGTTTGTTGCTCTGTTAATTACAGATCATTTACCAGAAACATCCAGGCCAGATTTTACAACTAGTCTCCAGTCAGAATAGCTCCAATAAGAAACAGCCTTCTCAGATGGAGTTGACTGGCTGTGGGTTAAATGTTGTGTCTTTATCTCTGCATCCTCATCAGCAGGAAACAGATGTTAAAATGAGATTGACACACCAGCAGAAACTGGGGTGAACTTGATTTAACTAGGGCAAAGGTATGTGGAAGTTTATCAAAGTTGGTTCCCAGTTAATTACCACTAGATGCTTAACTAAAACACAAATGTCAAAGATACACAAAAGAATTTTACAGGGAAAAGACATTGTTATTTTTATGAGCATTTCTGTTTACTTTCACTCATGAAAGAGGTCGAGTGAATGCTGAATTACGATTTTTCTAAGTATGACCTGGCCCTTCTAGAAATATTTTTTTTTTAATTACTAAATATTCCCTATTGGAAAAGCAAAGGCTGGGGTGGCACATTTGCTTTTAGGAAGTTAAAGTATAACTTTCAAACACATTGGTTAAAAAATAGCTAATTAAGTATCTTAAGGTGTTTAAACAGTTGTTTTATGGAAAATAATTATGTTAACTATGAACCTTTATTCCGAGCAGCATTCATTTTGTAGGTTTTTTTCCATGGTTCTGACCCAATCACTTCTGTTACATGATGTATACATGACAAGAAATTACTTATGTCTTATTTGGGGAACATCCTAGTATCAATAACTCTCCCATAGAGTTTGATCTGTAGATTACAAACAGGAAAACAGATAACCAATTAAATGGTGCTGTCACACACATAGAAGAGGAGACTCAATGGGAGTATTTCCCAGTGAGAAGGTACTTTTTTGCCCATGTGGTCCACGAACTTAGTTTAGTTCAAAGATGTGTGTAGGTGCTAATAGTTGGACAGGGCTTTCTCAAGCTCTTGACTTTGGGTCCGTTCAAAATGTGATGGGGGTGTTAGCTGTTGTATAGTAGTAGTAGACAGAAATGGGATCCTGAGCAGTAGTAAAGATTCCCCCCTAAGTTACAGGTGAAAATTAGAAAACTTGATGGGCCTGGCTGATGTTCCAACTAAAAGAGACATTATAGCAGATCAGGGAGGTGTTTAAAAACTGCAAACTGGAGCTCAAGGAACTTCGAATAAGCAGTTGGTGCCCTGGCACCTGGGGATATGTGCTAAACTTTTTTTTTTTTTCCTTAAAATAACTTTACTCAGACAGGAAAGGTTTCTTAAGGAAGCCCTTGCAGTCAGGTGATTCTAGGGTTATGTGCTTTTCTTTTTCTTTTCTTTTTTCTTTTTCTTTTTTTTTTTTTTTGTTTGTTTGTTTGTTTGTTTTTGTGCCCCCCCTTTTTTTTAAAAAAAAAAAAAAACTGGCCAAAGGAAAAGAATAAAGAAACAGGTTTCCTTTTTAAAACTGCACACACTTTTTGGGGTAATAAATGAACATTTTTTTGTTTGTCTTTTTTAGAACTGAGCTCTCCATAGACACACATAAATAGCATAACACAGTGTCTTTCCTCAGTCATCACTCTGTACAGTAATCAGCATAACTCCGTTCTTATTGACTGGATTTTGTCCAGGTGGGTTAATTGGGTGGGGAAAATTCATTGACTTAACATTGGAACTTCTTTTCTTCCTGTTAAACTTAAAAGATTAGGCTTTTTTTTTTTTTTTTTTAAGTCATAAGCTATCAGATTTACCTTTTATTAGAGGAAACCTTTCTAATGACTAAAATAAGAAGCTATGTAGACATTAGAAGCGTATGCACACAGCGCTCTTGGGAAGGCCTGGGTGCCTTGGCGTGGCGATCTGGGTAAACTAGAAGTGTAATGGTGGTCACCAGGTTTCACCTCACGCTCAGTAAGAAGTGCGTCTCCAAGCCTGTGGACTGAGAATACAAGAGCACTTCCTACACTGTCCAGCACAAGTGCCACAGCTTTAGAAAAGCAGCAGTTTCCTGTGTTTAATTCGGGAAGCTTCGTTTTCCTTTTCTTTTCTTTTCTTTTCTTTTTTTTTTTTTTTTCCCTTTAAATTGGAGCCACTTTTGTTAATTGTGGCGGGAAAGGCTGGGGTTTCCATCTAGAAGTGATCTCTAGCAGGATCATGCCTATCCTATCCTAATGCTTCAATTTTGCACAAAGCCACCCTTTTCTAATGCTGGATTTTTTTAGTGTTGTAAGATGTCTGTGGTGTCTGTGCATTTTTGTGAATCATCTCCCTGTTTTATGTTCAGCATTTACAGCCGAACAATACCAGCAACACCAGCAGCAACTGGCACTCATGCAGCAGCAGCAGCTTGCACAAACTCAACAACAGCAAGCAAATAGTAATTCCTCCACCGCCGCGCCACAGGTGAGGGCCTTGTGTGTCTTATGATCATCCCTCATTGTTTCCCACCAGAGTTCATCTCTAATTACCAAGTGTTGTCATAGAGCCTTGCATCTAACCAGCAGAAAAGTGGCTTTGGCCTGAATATACAGGGTTTAGAAAGAACACTCCAGGTGAGTATGGGAGCTGTCCCTTCTGCTGCCTATTGTACAAAGTAACATAAGAACATAGTTCCCTTAGCTGTGAAGTTGCTGCCGACTGACCTGTAGTCTGTAATGGCGCTGTCCGAAGCCTAAAGCCCCATGCACCTCACTCTCCAGTTTCAGAATTAAACCCAAACCTGTTCTACTCTTTTAAAACACTTGTAAATTTAAAGCTTGGAAAAATATCTGCTGTATGGATAGATTTGGGACTGAAGATTGAGAATTGAGTCTTTTCAGCATCTTAAGGGAATTTCACAAATTTTTAAATTAAATTATGTTATCTTACTTTTTTATTGAGGGATGATTGTCTTACTATCTAAAGATGTCTGTGATTGTGTAGTGGTTGGGTATGAGCAGGGAGGGAGGACAATAGAGGTTACACAGAAGCTTCATATTTGCCTTATGTTTGTCCAGCATTGAACTATTTGAGAAATATATTTCTAACCTCCCAGTTAGAACTTTCTGCTGTTGTCACATTCTGTACTACAGGGTTAATTTTGATAATTGACTTGTGTATTCTATAGTATCTTATAGGAAGGTCAAAACGTATAAGCCTTTAAATTAGTGAACTTTTCTGTCGGTAAGAAGAGACTCAGGTTTCAGTGGCCGGCCGGCCGGCCAGCTTTTAAAATGCTACTGAAGCTGACTTTGGTACACCTGTGTGTCTTAATGCTGATCCAAGACTGATACACTAATGGCTTTTCTTTTGTTTTCTCCTTCCAGGGTTTTGTTTCTAAGACTTTGGATTCTGCTAGTGCGCAGTTTGCTGCTTCTGCTTTGATGACGTCAGAACAGCTGATGGGATTCAAGATGAAGGATGATGTGGTGCTTGGGATTGGGGTGAATGGCGTCCTTCCAGCCTCAGGTGAGGATAGAGACATCTCCGTGGCCCTGTGGTTTTGCTGTGCATACATATTTGTGCACATTGTGGCACAGACACAGAATGCAGTGTTTACATGCTCCCTTTCTCTCCCCAGGAGTATACAAGGGCTTACACCTCAGTAGCACTACACCAACAGCGCTTGTGCATACGAGTCCGTCGACAGCAGGTTCAACTTTGTTACAGCCTTCAAATATCACACAGACTTCGGGTTCCCACAGTGCACTGAGTCATCAAGTAACTGCTGCCAATTCTGCAACAACTCAGGTTCTGTTTGGGAACAACATTCGATTAACTGTACCTTCATCAGTCCCCACTGTAAACTCTATCGCCCCAATAAATGCACGACATATACCTAGGACTTTAAGTGCTGTTCCGTCATCTGCCTTAAAGCTGGCTGCCGCGGCAAACTGTCAAGTTTCCAAGGTCCCCTCATCATCCTCTGTAGATTCAGTTCCAAGGTGAGTAGTTATTCTAAGTTTAAAATGTTAGGAAAGAGCCCATTCCTTAGAGTGGGATGCCATGCACAGTGGCAGTAGGACCACAATATAATCCCCAGTACATGAGTTAGCTTGTTGGAGCCCACTCCCCCAACCTATTGTGCTGGTCTATGTTCACTCCTCATGGGAACCCTTACCCGAGAGGAGGAGTGGACTGGGGGTGGGTTAGGGAGGCCGTCGAGGGCAGGGAGGTGGGAGGGAGAACTGTGATTGGAATGCAAAATGAAATTTAAAAAAATTTTTTTTTAGATGGAAAAAAAAAATGTTTGAAAAGTAAGACATCTAACTTCAGCCTTCTGGAGTGGCTGTCCCTGAGTTTTCTCTGCTTTTCCTTCCATGTATTCAAAATGTGTAGATATAAGAAACCCTCGTTTATTTAAAAACTGAGCATGTGGATGCTGTAATTCTGTCAGTTGAATTCAGTTTTAGTTGAGAATGAGCCAGTCCACTGAGATAGTGATAGTTATGTGACTTGGGCCTCATACATATGTTTTGTCAGCATGTATGTCTGTGTCAGGGAGTCAGATCTTGGAGTTACAGAAAGTTGCTAGCTGCCATGTGGGTGCTTGGAATTGAACCCTATCTGATCCTCTGGAAGAGAGCAGTCAGTGCTCTTAACTCCCAGGGTCTCCCTCTCTTAATGCAGCAATAACTTACTTAGAATGTTCTCACTCTTCCCCAGCCTTTGGGTGGAAGGTGTTCTCTTTAGGATGTTTGTGTTGCTGGTTTTGTCTGTAGTTTACTGTGTGAGCAGAATTGGTAAACCTTCCTGCAAGTTACTCTTAATAGTGGAAATGGCATCCTTGCCTGGTGACATTTAACTGAGGCATTGTTTCCCTGGTCACTCGCCTTCTTGAATTTCAGTAGACAGTTTAGCATTTTGTTAAGGCTGTATCACACTTTCAATATCAACTATAATTAAAACCCCACTGCTGCAAGGTACTAGGAGAAAAAGAAACAAAGACCTGCATTTTTCAGATTAGCAAGAAATAGCCTAAAATATGAAAGCTAATGTTAAGAGACGGTGCCGGTGAAAACTATTCTGGATGTATCTTAAAGCACTGTTATGTTGTCCAGTTCATTATATAGACAATGACTATCATTTGAAAACAAAGAGAAATCTTTTTACACCACAGTAATTCTGAGTATGTTCTAGAAAATATCTAATTCCACCTGGAGTAATAATTGATTGGATGAAGAAAAGGGGCATTTCTAGAAGTTGGAGTTGGCAAACGGAAATATAAAGCTGGGGAAATGCAAGTGTTTAGTGGTTAACAAGTACTCGGTTTTCCTAGGGACTTAGGAAGCTTAATAGAAAAGGAATGACAGGAGGAGGGCAGACCACACAAGCAACTTGTGTTGGACCAACATTAAGATTTCTTTAGCCAAGAGTTGGGGAGTTGCAGGGAAAGCAATTTTATAGCAGCTTATTGGTAGCCTTTACTTTACACACCCACAGGTCCCTCTCTGCTCAGTACCAGTATGTATTGTTGGTCTAGTCATGGCTAATGGGTGGACTGTGGTTCCCCTTCTTCCTCCATCACCAACTGTCATGACTTTCATTGCTGTAGAATTGTACAAATATGGGAACATTTGTGGTATATGGGACTTCTCAGATCCCTGTCTCTGTTTAAAAGCAGGAAACAAATTCCTAGAGGTCAGTGGACTTTCCAAGGATCCCTGCAGACAACCCTAGTGTTCTGATTACTAGTCCTGTATCTGACTTCCTTTGTGAGGCTCATTAGGACCCAGATTTAAAGCCCTGACATCAATCAGTTGGCTCCGTGGGTAAAGGTGCTTGCCCTCAAGTCTGACAACCTGAGTTTGATTCCCTGCATCCACCTGGTAGAGGGAGAGAATCAAACCGGGCAAGATATTCCTCTGACCTCCACACTGGCGCACATAGGCACATACACAATTATATAAAGGGTTAGAGAGGGTTTGCAGCCTAGGGAGATGGGTCAGGTGGTAAGTTGCTTGACAGTATAAGCATGAGCAACTGAGTTCTGATTCCCAGAGCCCACATTTTAAAAGAAGCTATATGTAGTGTTGAGTGCCTATAACCTCCACCCTGTAGGGGGGTGCAGGAAGGGGTGGGATAGGCAAATCCCTAAAACTCCAGCCTAGCCAACTCTCTGATCTTCAGGGGAAGAGTGATAGGAAAGGAACCCAACATCTACGTTGGGTCTCCACATGCTCACGTACACATACATACACCAAAATAAGCCTTGGTGGCTTAGGGCCTCCAAGGTGGCTTAGTGGGTAAAGGTACTTGCCACCAAACCTCACAAGCTGTTTGAGCCCCAGAATCTACATGGTAGAAGAAGAACCAACTCTACAAAAGTTCAACTATGATATACTGTGATGAACCAGTTGTGTATGTACGTACACACTCAATAAATAGAAGAAGAGAAGCTGAGTGTGGAAGGCAGCTGCAGCTGTAACTTTCAGAGCTTGAGATGTTTGGATAGTTAGTATACAGATCCCTAGTCACTTGGGCTCTTCTGCAGTCTTTCAGCAGTACAGTTGGCCATGGAATTGACTGTTGACACCTGATTTCTGATTGCCTGTTTTTCATAATTGTAAAAATTCATACTTCTCTTTGCTCCACTGTCACATAAATAAAGTTTCTTGCCACCATTAAAGGTAGCTAATGCTTTTTCTTTGTTTGCTCAGTTTGTACGTGACAGTTAAGTAACTGAACTTTTATCCCAACAGGGAAAATCATGAGTCGGAAAAGCCAGCACTGAACAATATAGCAGACAACACAGTAGCAATGGAGGTGACGTAGCTCCCTGGGAGCAGGACTGCAGCCTGGGGACATGATCAGGTGCTATGCATCAGAGGCGTTGGAACGCAGGGGAGGATGGAATGCACACATGCGTTTCCATGGCAGCTGTGGGGACTCGGCAGCACTGCGCATCTCTCATGCTTCAACTTTTCTTACTGTTAATAGGAAAAAAATCAACATCTGTAAATTAAGAATACAGCAATTATCTGTATAGTACTGCATATTTGTAATACCCTTGTATATATGTTACTTGAATACAGAAATGTTCATTTGTGATGCTTTGCACTTGGGGGCGGGGGGTGGGGGGATAAACTGCAACAAGAGTGTGAGCTGTGAGCTGTGTAGCTGGTGTCATCACATCATGTGCATGGTGCGGAACCTGCTGTCTATTTATTGTGCCGTGTTTACAGGTTTTGTACACTGTACCCTCATTGGTTCCTGTGCTGTAGTAAATGTGTTAGGTAGCTGTGGACTCCTTGGTATTTTGTAAATGGTATAACATAACTTGGTTCCCTCTGGGTCCTTGAGTTTTCTGTGTATCATGTGAAAAAAAAAAAAATGGTGACATACATACAGAATTTTACAAAAAAAAAAAAAAAGGCATCAGTTTTTTAAAATGGGGAATGTACTGTTCAATGGGGATCTTCCTGGTCTACTACCATTAGGACGCGCAACAAGCTAAAAATGAAGTCTCTTGAACCCTCCCATCCCCGCCTGCCCGCCTGCAAGCTTGGGCGGCCCCTGGTACTTAAAGCACTAATGTTATGTTGCTGCTCTGCAAACAGCCCAGTCGTCCCATTTCCTTCCACGCCAAAAAGTGTTAAATCAAGTACGCAAATGGAGTCCTTACAACTGGAGTTTATGTTGTCTTGCCCTTTTTTTAGCACAAAAAGATGTACTTTTTTATTGTGGAATCGTTTAAAGACTTCATTCTTTACTTGTTCTTACAGAAAGGCTATAGGGGAGAAGAATGCAGTAATTGCTGTCCGTGTATCGTCATTCCAGTTTGTAAAACAGCCAGCCAGCTTTTTTCCTTTTAAGATTCTCCAGAAGGCTGCGAGGCCAGAGCCACAAATATCGGGTGCCTTCCTTTGGAAATATTTGACCTCTCTTCTGTGAAGAGAACGGTACTTACCAGACTACTACTAGTGCTTTGTCAGTACCGAAGTCTGAATGCCCAGTCCAATGGCATACGTTATCCTTAAGGTTTTTAATCCCACCTGGAAACATTGTGATAGAATTCTCACAAAATAAACCCAGGGCATTACATGTTGACAAACTAACGTACAGTGGTCTTTGGCTTTTATTTTCAACTCCAGAACTCTGTGTGACTTTGTGTTATTTCAGTAAAGGGGCTTGGTTAGAGAAGGGGGGAGGGACGGCTTCAAGTTCATGTTTTCAGTGGTTATTTTGACACGACTCTATGCCTACATCAGTGAAAGAAATCCCTGCCCTTGATTTATAATCTTGTGGAGGTAAGAGAGTAAATGAAATGAGATCTAGAATGTGTTACATCTAATGGGAAGCAACAAGGGAAAAAGGCAGGGCCCACTGAGCGAGCGTAGAAAGCCAAGGGTGTCCACCGTGTCGGGCTGGGTCACAGACCCAGCAGCTGAAGCATTTGGGCAGAGGAGAGCATCAATCCAGGGATGAGAGGTAGCAGAGAGGGGGAACAGCAGCAGTGTGTGACAAGAGAAGGGGCCTGGTGACATAGCTATGCATGCAGGCAAAAGACTCTGCCTTTCTTCTGTACAGAAAAGAGCTTCGAGCAGAAGGGGTCAGCTGCCTCAGTGTCCAGACTAGATTTCAGGGGGAGCTCCCGGTGATGATGACCAGACTGGTCCAAGGGAAAACATGAATTGGTTGGGTCTGTTTCTGTTTTTAGAGGGACCTGTTAAAAATTGTTCATTGGCCAGGTGTAGTGGCACATTTTTGTTTGGTTGGTTTTTTTGTTATTTCAAGACAGGGTTTCTCTGTGGCTTTGGAGGCTGTCCTGGAACTAGCTCTTGTAGACCAGGCTGGTCTCGAACTCACAGAGATCCACCTGCCTCTGCCTCCCGAGTGCTGGGATTAAAGGCGTGCGCCACCAATGCCTGGCTGGCACATGGTTTTAGAAGCAGAAGCAGGAGGCTCTGTAGGAGTTGAGGCCAGCCTTGTCTACAGTGAATTATAGGACAGTTGGAGATATATAGATACTGTGTCTCAAAGTAGAAAATACTTGCTGAATGAATCTGTTCAGTAAAGCACTTGAGAAGAATGACTTCAAAGAGGCAGTAAGGACAGAAGTTTGGTTCCCAGAACTCATGAACAAACCAGGTAGTGACATGTGCTTGTCATCCCAGGGCTGAAGAAGGAGGGAGAGGGGTAATGCAGCCCCAGGGCTCACTGTCCAGCTAGACCAGCCTACTCTGGAAACTAGGCAATGGGAGACTGAAAAAACAAGGTGGACCCCTCCTAAGGGAGCCCTCTGACCTCCACGTGGACATACAGACAAACTTAAGTTCAAGATATTTTACCTGAGCAGATGACCATGGTTGAACGTACTGTAAGAGGAAGTAGGTCTGGGGAATCGGGAAGGTTTGAGATACTCATTAAATGTCCAAGTCCAAGATGAGAGAGCACCACGTAGAAACCAGTGGGAGTTGGGAGGGGTTTGAGCTGGAGCTCAAACATTAATCTTTGTAGTTGAAGTTGGAGGCATAAGGTTACAAAAAGCGAGGGATATGGGAGTCTACTGCATCCATGGCGACAAGGTGGTTCTGAGTTCATTTTACCTCTAAGATAATCAATCCCCACCCTCAAATGTATAATGAGAAAGAAAAAGGTTTGTCTTTCTAGCCCAGTGTCTAGTCAGTGCTACTGAAAACCTAGTCTACAAACTGCTGGCATAAATGTGCTACAGAATAACTGAGGTCGGGGCAGTCTTTCTGAAGCGCACAGGGCAGATAGTGTGAGGCCAAGGCCTGCCTGCTGTGTCTGCAAGCAGATGCTAAGTGTCCTGGGGAACAAGGAAATGAGTCCTGGCTGGAGAGGTTGGAATGCAGCTGCGCTGGACTGCTGATTGACAGGTACTAGTCACGGTCCACACAGCATCTGTTCTGTTGCATCACAACAGGTTGTGGGAACATACAAACCAATGTGCACAGTTTTAAAAGGAGATGCCTTCAAAACAGGTTTGGGGGACCCTACACTGTGTTTTCAGTTCTTTTGCTACCAAGCTGTAATAGCATGGAATAAAGGACTGGATGACAATGACAAAAGAGCAGCTTAAACAAGAAGGCCTTAGGGAAAGTGAGAAAAGGTCACAGTGACTGGCAGTCCCAGGCTGCAACTCATTCCTGCTGGACTCCAAAGGTGGCAGTGTTTGTTGACAGCTATTCTGTGATTAGACAGAAGCAGTTTCCTTGGTAACCATCCTTACCATGGTTACCAAGGTAACCTTAGAGGACACTCACTACGCTTTGGTCCAATTGATGAACAAAACCCCCAGATACCTCACAGACACTACACTGGCTTTTTACCTAGGTAAAGAAATTGTGTTCTCTTTGGACTCCAAATTACAAAGGTTTGGGGTTTTGTTTGTGGGTCCTCTTGGGAGGGTGGGGGGTTTGCTTCGAAAATAACAGCAACAGAGGAATAGACCAACAGCACATCAACCCAACAATTGCATTATGTTCCATGTCAGGCGTCCCTGCAGGTGCTGAGAAAGGAATCAGAGCTCCAGCTCCCATGCTGCTTACATCCTGGTAGACTCCTCTTTGAGTGACAGGCGGGACGGGAGTAAGGCACTAGCCTGTTACCACTGCTGTTCATCACATTATCATCATAGTAACAGTGAAATCAGAATAATATAACACAATACTGATAACACAATGATATAATATTGAAATTACAGGCTACACGGCCAAATAAAATAGGTGATAATTCCACAATATTCTGAAGAGGTACAAAAGCTAAAAAGTGGAGAATGGTCTACATTTATAATTCTATAAAAGAACAGGAAGGACCACTAGTGTTACAGAAGGCTTGCTTGATTTTTTGTGTGCAGGCAGGTGGACATGGGGTATGTATGAGTGTGGGTACATGTGTTGGGTATATATATGTGGGTATGTGTCCGTTTGTGTGTGCGAGTTGGTATGGTGTGTATATATGTGGAGTGGGTATGTGGCAGTGTGCATATACACATGGAGGCCAGAGTTCAATGTCCTCTACAGTATTTTATTATTACCATATCTGAGTGTGTGTGTGTGTGTGTGTATGTGTGTCTGTGTGTGTGTGTGTGTCATAGCATGTGCATAGAGGTTAAGAACAACTTGCAGACTAGGTCTCTCCCTGAACCAAAAACTCATGGATTGGCTAGGCTGGCAAACTCCAGGAGCCCATCTCTGCCCCACTGGCATTACAATTTTATGCCACCACATCCAACTTTGTATATGTGTGCTGGGGTTTTAAACTCACAACCTCATGCTTGCATGGAAGGCACTTTGCCGACTGAACCATCCAGCATGAGGACAGCTTTATTTTTGACCACAAATATTAGTTTCCACCCATAGTGACATTACTACAAATTTGATAGCCTCCAGGGTTCTCCAGCCAATGATAACTGAATAGAACACAATTTTTTTTTTTTGTAACTTGATTGCACCTTGTGTATGAGCCTTGTGAGTAGCAACAGTGTGTCAGGATGCCAAAGGTTGGACATACCTGGCAAAAATGTGTTCTCTCTCAGTTCTGGAAGAAGCCCTAAGTGCAGAATACATTTATTTCACTGAGCTGAAGTCAAGGTAACTGCAGTCTCACACCCCCTTTGAAGTAGCTATGGGCAGACTGCTTCACGTCTTGTCTAGCTGCTGGTGGCTAGCTGGCATCTATTTTCCCATTGCCTTCTCTGGTCTCAAGGCTCCCACTGCCTAGTCTCCCCTGTAAATAACCCTCCCCTCTTCTCAACTGCAGCCTGTATAGTGTTGTTAACTGGGAACTTGGAAAATGTTCTCAGTAATCTCCATGTCGTCTCAAAATTCTCAGAATCAAGGCCCCTGGGCATGATTCTGCCTACATATTAAGCTGTTTCGCCCTGTGGTCCTACATGAATGATGACACCTTAACCCCAATTCCTGGGTCACACTCAGGGCTGTTCTTGAGTGGGCCCAGACCAAACAGAGCAGCTGTGATGCTAAAAAACAATCTTCATGGACTTCCATACAGCCCAGAAATATAGATACCTGCATTTTGCTACCCACCACAATAGAGTAGCATCCATTCCATTGTCTAAAAGAACTGGAGGCAGAATTTCAAAAAGATATTTTTATACATGTGTTTATAGCAACGTTATTCAAAACGGCCAAGAGGTGAGAGCAGGCAGGTGTTCGTCTACAAAGCAAAAGTGGTATTTCCATACACACTGGGGGTATCACTCAGCCATGAGACCAAAGGCTGTGACTGTAGCCTAGAGCAACCTCGAATGTATTATACTGAGTGAAACAGAGCAGCCACATACATGATCTACAGTAGTCATCTCACAGAAGGTAAAGTAGACGTCACCACAGCATGGTGGAGGGAGAAATGAGAACCACTGATAGACAGAGACCAGCTTTGTGAGTCTGGCCAGTGGTCCTACAAAAATGTGCAACAAACTAAATTAAGCAGATAAAGATAGTTAAGATACACTTCATCATGTGTATTTTATCACAGTTAAATTTTTTTAAAAGCAGTGACCCTAAGCAAACTCATCACTTTCTAGTCATCCTGTTGGATTTATTATGAGCAGTGCTCTTGACGCCACACCCAGGCTTCTGACAGCCATTCCCAGCTCAGCGTTCTGTGGAATCCCACTGATGCTTGACTCAGCCGTGGTGGGGTGATTTACCCCCACAGAATCAGAAACAGGAAAGACAGGTAGTTGTGTGAAGAGCTGGTCACTAAACACTTATCAACATACCACAGAGACCAAAGTCAAGCCCTCTGCCATTGTACTAAGCACAGATATAGAAGGTCTCTTCCTTCACAAGCACCTTTGATGGCTCTGAGGGACTGAGGAGGTTGGTATAGGTAAGGTTATTTCTGTCCCTGGATTCTTTTGGAGCACGACACTTGGGAAGGAAAGTAAATAGGATCACAAAGACCCACAGGGAGTGCATTGAGCTGCAGTTCTGTGTTATCAGCTTAGCTGCTGTGCTGTTCACAGCTATCCTTTCTACTTGTGCAGGGCTGGAGAGATGGTTCGGTGGTTAAGGACATGCTGTTCCTGCAGAGGACCTGAGTTCTGTTCCCGGTACCCACACTG